TCGGTGTGGCTGCCCTGCCCACGAACTAGCCCCCCCTTCTATCCCCACCACTAGAATGCCCCGAAAACTGCCCCTCTCCCCTTCCCAAGCGTAGAAAACCCTACCCCTCCCCTCCCCGGCCCCAAAAACCCCAACGGAGGTGGTGTCGGTGTCAGTGTCAAAGCTAGGGAAGGGGAGTAGGGTTTTGGGGCTTGGGAAGAGGACAGGATAGGGTTTCGAGGCTAGAAAAAGGGATTTCAGGGCTGGGGAAGATGAGGGGGAGGGAGGGGTTGTTTTCGGGGTGGGTGGGGGTGATTTCAAGGGTGGTGGTGGCCGAGTGGGGGCGGTTTCGATAGTGGGATGGGGATGGGGGTGGTTTTGAGGGTGAGGGTGAGGGTGAGGGTGGGGGTGGGGAGGGAGCCCGATTTTTTGGGGTGGGCAAGGAATGGGGGCGATTTCCAGGGGGTGAGGCTTGGGGATAGGATTGCTGGAGGTGGTGGAACTTGGGAAAGGGACTGTCGTAGGTTTTTTTAAAAAAAATTTATTGATTTTTTTTTTTTTTACTTTTTTTTTCAACCAATCAAGTATTGCCACGTGTCCTAGGTAACCTGTTTTAACAAGTTGATAATCGGATATGACCAATAAAAGCGAATACCCCCTAAAGTTGAGATTATTCAAGAATAATCCAATGTTGGGATTATTTAAAGTAAATGGGCCAAAGTTGAGATATAAAACCAATTTTTCTTTTTTATTTTTATTTTCAATTTATTTTTTTATGCCATTGATTAACACCCTTGTTTATCAAGGCGATAATTGGGGGCTTATAAATGAGTAAATACAAGTTTCTTAACATGAGAAACATACAATGTTTCTCAAAGGGGTATTTTCGTATTTTTGCTAGAACAAGTAAGGGTACATGTGCATTTCAACAAAACAAAAACGCATATTCACTGCTCTCTCTCTCTCTCTCCTCAACAATGGAAGATTGTAGATCGGGAATATCTTCAACAATGGACAAAAATCTTACAATTAACAACACACAACTATCATTTAGAGTTAACTATGCTCTTAATTAATACATTTTTCTTGTTTTTGTTAAATTTGGTGGCGAAGCCGCCGGAGATGGTGGGGTTGGGGTTTGTTGTGGTGTCCATGGTTTTGGGCATGAAGTTGGTGGTGTTGGGCATGGTGTTGAAATTCGTCTGCCATTGATGATGGAAAAGCTTGAAGAACATGAGGATGGTTGAAGGAGAAGGAAGAGGGTGAGTCAGCCACAAAAAAAACAATAAAATATTGAAAAAATTGCCGAAAATAATACAACCTTTGGGTCGTTCTTTTTAAATAATACAACCTTTGGATTATACATCAATATTACAACTTTGGGGGTGTTAATTTTAAACATGCAAAAACAGGATGATAACCCGTTTTTACAGGTAATGGGACACGTGTTGCTTTATCATTTGTTGAGGGTTTTTTTTCCCAACTTCTCTCCTCCTCCTTCCCATATCAATGGCAGTCAACCACCACCCTTTAAAGCACCACCACCCCGAGATTCTAACCCTTGCAGCCACCACGAAAATCACCACATTCAGCAGCACTAAACCACAAACCTGCTCTATCCTTCCCTGCGCACCATGGCCACCATCCCAGTCCCCTGTCCCCCGCATCAAATTGCAGCGGCAGGCGCAGCCACATCAACCCTTCACATTGCAGCAACCTTCACCACCATCGCCACCAATTCACACATCACAGCCACCCTCATTACTGCAACAACCACGCCATCGTAGCCCAGCTCTGCTTCTCACTTGTACAAAATCAAGATCAAACCAAAGAAACCCAAATCATAATAAAATATGGGTAAAGAAATCAAAGTTAGGGATCAAATCTGAAATGAAAAAAGCAAACAAATCAAGAGGGGAGAGAAAGAGACCTTGCGATATCTGGCGTTGAGCTCCTTGGTGCGTTTATGGCGGAAGTTTGATGCGGCTTGAATGGCAAGCAGAACGTTGCTGCGGTTTGAATTGGGCGGTTTTTTGTGCGGCAGTGATGTTCGCATCGGGCCGATCGAGGTACGGTGGGCTCGCGTCGTCGGGGGAGGAGGGATTGTGTTGTAGTGTTCGCTAGAGGGGGATTGAACGTGTAGTGTCGGCGAGGAGGGGTTGTTTGCCGGAGAAGAAGTTTGCATGTGGTGGTTAAGGGGCTGGTTTCTTTTTAAATAAATCTAAAATTAATTATTTAAAAAATATATATATTTAGACCAATTACATAACGACACGTGTCATGGGTAACCGATTTACCAGGTTATAAGTTTTTTGTCTTGTTTAAAATTAATAACCCCCAAAGGTTGTAGTATTCATGTATAATCCAAAGGTTTTATTATTTGAAAAGAGCGGCCCAAAGGTTGTACTATTTTCGGCAATTTTTCCTAAAATATTTATTAACTAGATGAAAGCTTGTGCGATGCACGATTTTTCATACATGTATCTCAAGAAAAGATATTTTCCTATATACTCTAAGTTTTTTTTTTTTAATTTTTTATAATTATTTGATTTATTTTACAATTTAATAATTTCAAACAAAAAAAATAATAATAATTTAATTAAAATGATATTGCCAATTACAAAAGTATAATTTTTTTAATGTAATTTATAATGCGACTTAATTTATTGTTGTTTTGTATTTTATTCGTTGTTGTTAGTTATATGACAATAATATGATATCTTTCAAAAAAAAAAAAAAATTGTAAATATGATATTTCATTGATTACATATTAGGATAAAATCTTTAATATGAAAAGATAATAATATTTTATTTGTAAAATAATTTAAATCCTAAATCATTATTTGTTGCTTTTACACTTGAAATTAATCTCTCAAATCTATATATCATTTTGTATATTTCTTGTGATCTCTTTAGACATAAAATGTTTAAAGAAGGTAAAGTTTTTTATTGCGTTATAAGTTTTAAATTTTTTTATGAAAAAAACATCTTATTAATCGGGTATTTAGATAAAACCATTAATTTCATAAGATAGTTTTTATTTTAAATCCTAATATCCCACGGTTTTTTATACATAAAATCTCGTAAAAATAATTTTTGTAATTAGATCATACTCATAATACTTTTGATTACTTTGCTATAGTTTGTTAAGGATAATATTTTATTAATATTATGTAATTTATTCCCCTAATGAATATATTGATAAGAACATTAAAAATAATAGTTATTAGATGTAAAAAAATTTGTATTAAAAAAAAATTCAATAGGATCACCAACTTTGTTCACACCCATATCTCTTCCATCTAATAAAAGTGGATAAATTGAACACGTTAGCAAAAATAAAATTTATATAAAATTAATCTTTATAGTCTTATAAAATATATTAAAATATTTACCAGAAAGTGAATAATTTTTGTGAAATTAATCTAAAAATTGTAATTATACAAAACTAAATCTATGCAAAGGAATTTTTTTAATCGTCCCCAATCGCCCAAACAATAATATTTTGGAAAATTAAATCATTATTTTCTTGTCGCTGACAATGCGTGCAATATTGCTTCTCATTTGTAACGACTGAAAAGTATCTAATGGAGTAAAGTTTTCCTTCAATCAATTTTGAACAAAATTGTAGAACAAAGTTAACTTTAATTGAGACATGAACATAATCACCCTGTAATTAAAAATAAAAAATTAAGTTAAAATTAGTTAAGCTACCTAAATCACAAAAAATTGTTTTAATCATAAAATTAATTGATAAAAACTAAAAGGTTCATTAAAAGATTTAATAAATGTAAACTATTTATAAAGATATAATACCTCCTCATCCAATAGGATCATTAGGCGAGAAACTTGTACTTTGATATTCCAAAGATTTTTGCTCGAGTATAATTCTCTGATTAAATTAGATCTGCATGTAAGAACAAAATTCAGTAAACAAAACATAAACATATAATCATTAAGTATCCCAAATAAACACAATTTAAGCAATAATCACAAATACACATTTACACATGGGTTTTAAAAACTAGGCTAAGTATTACCCAGCCATTGATGACCTAATAAAACTGACACAAAATTAATGACACAAAATTTGCTTGGTTTGGTTTTGTATTGATACAAAATTTTGTTGGTGTCATATGATGCGTCAATTTATAACGGTAAATATCACAAATTTGAATTTAATTATAATTAAGGAATAATTTTTATTTCTTATCATAACCACTATCAAAATTTATCTTATAATAGTAGGTATATAAATCCTATATCTAAAGATGATTATTTTAAAAGATAATTTTTAGTTTTTTAAATAAATTAAATCCTAATAAATCAATATTCGTTGTTTTTACTTACGTGGCAAAATTCTTAAATCTCGTCACTTTTGTTTAGGTGGCAAACGAATTTTTTAATTACAAAATTAAATAAAATAGAAATCTAATTTTTAATTGGTCGAAAATATACATTTGCTTATGTGGCGCGCCGAATGCTCTTGAAAAATATCTACTATATTTATATAATATTAGATTTGCTAGTATTTACTATTTTATCATGTTGAGAAACTAGGGCAAGCCCCTTATAACTGTTGGGCAATTTGTGATTTGCGTCTCTTCAACTTAAGGGAAACTGGGAAAGTGTGAACATATTGGGTTTAGTAGGCTAACTTTGAAATAGCTAACATGGGCCGTATGTTTATTTAATAGGCCTCCTATTTAGGTGTTTATAAACAAATACTCACATTACTCACATGAATACAGACTTGGGAAATTTCACTACTTGACATCTATGTTGCACGGATACGGACACGGACACGGACACGGACACGATACGGACACGATACGGACACGGGAAAACGACAATCCTAAAAATAGGGGACACGGGTACGGCATATAACAAGACATATAATATATCCAAAAAACGAGAATTTGACAACCTGTTCAATAAAACACTAAAAATTTAGCCTCAAAACACACAAATCTGTTTAAACAAAGTAAATAAACAAAAGTGTACGAACATAGTCGCATACATAGGAAGAAACCATCAAACCAAATACATGTCTTAATATTAAGTAGTTTTACAAATCATAAATAAAATAAACATAAGTACTAATAGTTTCATTCTTCACCATCAAGTACATCATCAAAAATCATACTTTCCATCTCGGGTTCATCAAGTGAGAGCTCGGCCATCTCTAGGATACCAACCTCTCCTAGGTTGTCATGTTCATCCCCACCCACATCCCACAACTTAGATCTCCCCTTAGTGTACTCTTCACTTCTCCTAGAAAGTAATCGAAGGTTGTTATGAATGTATACCAAGTCTTGAGCACGTTTAGGAGTAAGCTTATTTCTAGTACAAGAATGAATAAACTTATAGGTGCTCCAATTCCTTTCACTACAAGAAGAGGAAGAAGGTTGACCTAATAGCTTATAAGCCAAACTTTGAAGCATAGGCACTTGAGAACCATAAGTTGCCCACCAATTTTTAGCATCCATCAAAGCCATATCATGCATGCAATCAATGTTGAGAAAGATCCCCTCCGATTTTCGGGAAAATATAGCAAATTCCGTGTTGATCTTGAATCTTTCATCGGGACTTTGGAAAAGCCTTTGAAAACATTGTAATCTTTGTGTGGAAATTTCATTGTCGGCACTTGGAGCAACTCGTCCCGGAACCTCATTAAGCCATTCTTCCGTGTAAAATCTTTAACAACAAAATAAGATTAGCCATAAGAAATAAAAAAAAAACAAGAAAAAATAAATAAAGATAATAAAAATGAATTAAACAAGCAAAATTTACCTTGGATTCAAAGAATGTGCTAATGAATGGAGTGGAGTACTACCCTTACTCCAACGACTACTAAGAATCCCTTTAACTACATTAAAGAAGGTAGATTGTTCATAATCTTGTTTACCCTCTTTCTTGTAGATGACATCTTTCACCCCTTGAACCATAATATCCCATCTTTCATAAACCAAATGCAATGAAGATTTGTCGGTGTCACAAACCCTAATCATATCATAGATTGGGCGTGTGAAGTCAAGAATGTAATCAACTTTGTCCCACCATATTTCATCCAAAATATTTTCCCTTACATGTGAGGCTTGCCTGCGTCGATCATCCTTGTATAAGGACCAATTCTCACTAATAACCATTGATTGAAGTGATGTTTTAAGGAGTTTCAACCTTTTAAGCATGCACACAATAGAAGCAAAACGAGTATCGGCAATGCAAAGTAGTTTTAATGGAGAAAACTTATTGAACATTGAAAGCCTCATCAAATGATTCATTATGTAATTTTTAATGAACAAGGCATCTGCATGAACTTCCGTTATCCAATGACATTCATCATACACTTCAACGTTATTCAACACATTCTTAGCTGCACAAATGCTTTTCATTGCAAGATTAAGTGTATGAACAACACATGGTGTCCAATATATATGAGGATACCTACCCTCAACCGACCCGTTTCGGAAGCAATCATAATGTTAATCAAAGGCCTTCTTTGTGGATCACTCCACCTATCACTAACAATTCTAACACCCTTTGTTTTCCATGTGGCTTTAATAGGTTGCAATAACCTATCCACGTTTTCTTTCTCTTTACAAAGCAAAGTTGTTCTAAGTTTGTTGTATCCAGGAAGCGAGCTTATAACCAGAGAGATTAGAATTGGCAGCAATGGTATATGAACTAACATAGTAAGGGTTTCTAGCAAGATTAAAAGGCAACCCCCCTGTGTAAAACATCCTAGCAATTTCAGAATCCAACTGGTCACGAGATTTCATATTAAAAGCATTAGAAATTGTATTGTTTGATTTCCTCTTCTTAACATTATCAGATGAACCTAGTCTAACTGATGTAGCTTCAGTTGATGTGTGAGAAGATATGGGTTCATTTGAAAAAGGTGGAACTTTTGGTAACAAAGATTTTTTAAAATCCTCAGATTCACGATGAAGTTTTCTTAGTTTAGCAAGGTCATCAATATTCACTTTATTACAAGTTTGAATCCCTTTCCCTGTTTCACATAGCAAATGAGCTTTCACTCTAGTGTATGAACCATTTTTAACTTCACCACAAAAGTTACATTTCCAATTATAATTTCCTCCACCACCCGATATTTTATCACCCTTAACAACAAACTTCCACAAAGGGTAGGGGTCCTTCTTAGACTCAGATGAATTACTACTACCACTAACATTGCACGAAGCAGAGGCACTAGAACCACTAGAAGACATTCCTGACAATTTCAACAAGACAACAACACATTTTCAGCAAATCAAACATTTATAGTTTAGCTCAAACAACACAATCAAATTACACAATGCACATGTGTTATATGTATAAGTTTATAGTGTAAATGTTAGAAATATAGAGTACTGTTTCATTTATATATACAGTATCCACATGCATATTATTTCTCCAAAACAATGGGCACTAACATACACAACATATATATCAATGCACTAATGCAGCAGTTGAAGGGCAAGCATAAAGTTTAGACTAAATGATCACAAAAATCACAAAAATGCACAAAAGTTTAGACTAACTGAAAGCAAGTTTTTAAACCCAAAAATGGTCAAAACTCAAAAGGGGTAAACAAATAACAAAAACGAAAACCATAAAGTTATCCAAAAAGATAAAACACTACATATCCCTTAATCTAGAACATAATATTGAAGTAATTGAACCACAAAACCATGATACAAATTACTGAAATTAGCCAATTTAAGCAAATCGTGAAGGAATGAAATCAAATTAAAAATTTAAAACGAGAATGAGAGATTGAGAGGAATACCTGAGAAAGTGAGAAGGCTGAGAGCACCGACGAGAGTGACGCCTGGACGGCGGCGACGAGCGACGAGTGACGGGCTGACGGCGAGTCGACAAAGGATTGAAGGAATAGAGTATTAAAGTGGCCAGGTTTCGTGATGACTGAGGACTTGCGACGAGCGACGAGCCGACGACTGACGCTGTGACGGTGGACGGTGGGCGACGGTCAGGCGACTTCAGTCGGCGGCGATTTGGGTTTGAGAAGGTTGAGGTAGAATGAACTCGTGAAGAGGAAGATTGAAAGAAGTAGGGTTTGAGAAAAAAGAAACTGAGGGAGTTGGGCTGGAATAACAAAAGGGCGTGTCCAAAATAAAACGGGCCGTGTCATAGGGAGACACGGTCTGTATCCATGACGTATTTTTTTTTTTTAAAAAAAGGGACACGGATTTTGAAGTGTCGGACACGTATCGCACCGTGTCCCACCCGTGTCGGTGTCGGACACGCGTGTCGACACGGACACCTCAGCTAGGTGGCGTGTCCGTGCTTCACAGCTTGACATTACTCGTTATTGAATGTCATTTGTCAATTAGTAAACTTGATAATTATTAATAGAATTTTAGGGTTTATATGTTGTCTATTTTTATTTGATAGGTTGAATCATTAAAAAAAAAAACACTTGATTGAATCATTGATAGATGATTTTGCTACTACGAAAATTCATAGAGTACAATTCAACTATTTTTTGTAACAGTAAATTATTAATACATTTCATTTCCTAAATCAAAGTATTGTCTACCATATTGAATCCCCAAGACTTTAAATTCCTAGCTTCACCACTTACAATTACAAAACTTAAATAAAATATCTTAGGTGTGTTGCAAATAATTTGTAGTTTATAATTTTCTTGGTAAAGTAAATATAAAAAACTTCATATTACCCGTACATATCATTGGTAAATTAGAAATCTAAGAGCTTTAATTAATGAAATAATAAAAATAACATTCAAACTTAAACATGTAGAAAAGTCTCCCCTAACCAAAATCAAATGTGGCATACTCCATATCATGTGTTGTGTAACAATAGGAGTCTTAATTTTGACATGATAACTTAACTAGTCACAATAATTACACGTAATAGTTGTTTACCAAAATACCAAAACAAATCAACGTGTATGTACAAAATTAAAGTCCATGAATTTAATCCTTTCAACCCCTTAACATTGGATTGAAAGCGAGGTGATCTTGACAAGGTCACAAATACATACAAGCCTTCAACATCAGATCATCCGATACAAGGAAGCTCCTTTATCCACCCGAATTTCGACTAATTTAATATAAGTACATTTTAATTACCTAAGATAAGTTTTCTAATTGTATGTGTTATATACAAAATAAATCTATGGTTGTAATCAAATATTTGGTGTTGATTCAACTCAAGCATACAATACTTACCGAATCATCGGGTTCCGGTGGGGGGGATCGAGATGTCTCCGCTAAGTTCTTGCTCTAGCTGAGGTTGCTCATGTGATAGTGAGGGAGTCCAAGGGATCAAACTAGTTGGTGGAAAGCAACACCTACATGGTTCGGTGCAAGGCTCTAACATGTCCCATTTCGAGTTGCTTGTTATTGAAGGCTCTTCTTCGTCTTTTTCTTCATCATCATCATCATCGTCACCTTGCTTGTTTATCATCATCATCTTCTTTGTGTTCTTCGAAGTGGGGTCCAGCGCATCCTTGAGTGGGCCCCAGCACTCGACTTTGTTGAACTCAGGGATGCTTGAATGGAAATACACCCAAACAGTTGCTTCTTGCAGTTCTGGGTTGTTGTTGAACAAATTTTCATCCCCATGCACAAATGCACTCAGCACCTGCCCATTTCAACAGCACATCTCATGTTGTTTAGCAACATATTTGGACTTATGTTACTTTTTCTTATACTCCGTTCTTTTCGAGTAAAGTTTTCGGAAAAATACATTCAGATAATTAAAGAGTTTCATACAGTAGTTCAATTCAAAACTAATAATGAGCTTTCGTGTGTCAAAAATAAATTCAAATAATCTTGGAGAAGGGTTTTCAAACGAAGTTCAAATACGAGTATTATTGGTGCTCCATTTCCGGACCAGACAAAGTTGCACTCATCATGTCGTATGACCCTAATTAAGTAATTAATACTCTTTAAAACTAGCATGGTAAGTCTTGTACGTAATCTAACAATTATTATGGCTAATTACTTTTCCTAATATGGGGCAGAAATAGGTGTCACACAGGGGTGGTTCCACACAGGGGTGGTTCTGAGCATGTGCAGAGTGGTCGATCGCACAAGGCCCCCTAAGTGAAACTACTATAAAAGGGCCCGATTTTTTAATTTAGTAACTTATTTTTCCTCAAAAAATGATTTTAAGGCCCAATTTAACAAAATTGCACCGGGTCACTTCAGTGTAAGCATTTGTAACCCCGCCATTGGTGTCACAGCTGAAAGTACTATGCAAGATTGCAACTTTATTACTAGCTCACTTGCAAAGAGAGGCAAAGAGAATATATTGGACTTACTCTCAAATACAAAAAATGTAAAATTTAAACAGAGTATCCATTAATCTCAAAGGAAACTATAAAAATTGAAATTTAATAACGACTTTATTTTCATGCACAAAAAGTGTTTGTTTAGTTTATTTACTTTTAACTTATATGTAGTCAAACTCTCCAATTTACGTGTATCAGTTGTTTGAGAATGTACATTGATGATTTTTGTAGCAGCTCATTCCTTAATTTGAATAATTTCATTACATAATTAGGTATTTCACGTATTTGGTATTCTTGTCACGAGCAAATGTTTTCTATACAAGTAAGAAAAATTATTTCTAAAATGTAGGCCCATTCTCAAATACTCCCAAATAGAAAAAAGATGAAAAAAAGGAAAAAAAAATAAAATAAAATATGAGGCTCGTTTGAAGATGGCCACAAATAAAAATCTCAGATGTTCAATTATGGAAGTGGGGTAAAGTGGATCACTACACTCCTGGTTCTTGACAATGTACTCAGTACTCAGCAATAATTTTCTGTTCAATCATTTTTGCACATGGGAAATAAGCCCATTATAGTGATTTATTCTTTTTTTAAAGATTTTTTTTTATATATAAATTTATTAATTTACCATATTTTCTAAGCTCGGCCTTAACATGTGAACGATTATAAAGAAAACAAATGAAGTATTTGTAATTTGTTCTTCGTTGGATTGAGTCTAAATGCTTGTTTAATTTCATAAATAATACGAGTAATAAGAGTATAAAATGTTGTTTGGTTGAACATGAGAGATAATTTCATTTACTTAAGGAAGCTAATTAACATTCTCCATTTTGAAAAAAGTATAATTTTTTGAAACTCCTCAAGATGTTGTCAACCAAATAACTTCTCCTTATGATTAAAGAGGTTTTCACTCTTCATTTTCCTTATAAAATGTCAATCAAACAAACATTGAATAGCCTTCTTCAACCGTCAAAACGTGATTAAAATAACTATTAGTCGAATTTACCCTAATTTTATTAATAGGGTCTAAGGTAAGTAACAAATCTCATTTGTTCTTATTTTTCACATACCAAAATCTATTTCAGATATGATATGTACAAATTGAAAAAGATACTCCGTATAACTTAACGAGTTTGTCTAATGCCCCTATGGCCCTATCCTTAGCAAATTGATAAGCCAATCGCCTAATCACTTGAAAACATGTATAGTGCAAATTGGAAAGCCTCGTATTAGTAGCATAAGACTTGAGATTAGACTATTAGAGTGACTCTTTCAATACCGTACTACATAACTTCTTACCCGTTTAAAACGATCTTATTTAAAACCTAATTGAAATTACACTTATTTCTCAAAAGAATAGAAGTATGTACGAGTATGACTATTAAATTATTAATTAGTATGAGACGATTTCACTTAAAACTTTTTTCGCGAAAAAAAAAAATGAGGAAGGAAGAGAGCGTAATTCTCTTACCACAGGGAGTTCCTTGCAAAAGATGTAGTAACGCAAACGAGCACACAAATCTAAGAGGAAATGACCACCACTTATGTGACAATGAACATGTAGTGACATCTTCCCTTTTACTTTCTTCCATTCTGCCACCACTTCATCTCTATACAATTTGTTATACCACCCTTGCAACTATAAACAATATAAAAATATTAACACTGTTATTAATCAAATTAGTAAAAAAAAAAAAAAATATTGCATAAATTAACACCAAATTCCCCTGTTTTTTCTCGAAAGGAAAATACTAATTGAAAATTTGAAATGAATAAACTAGACAATTAAAAAACTAGACTTTATTCTATAAAAAGATAAATATTGCATAAATCACAAACGATATATTCCTAACCTAACAAATGTCTAACGTTCGAGAACAATCCTCGTAGTTAATTAGTTACGTATGGAGTTTTACGTTTACCAAATGCATAAGGTTGATCATTAATATCTTTTAAATAAAAAAAATAAAAAAATAATTAAAAACAAAAAATGATTCGAAAGAAAAAAGAATAGAAATTACCTGGGAATTGTTAATAGTTTGAGAGATAGCCAAAGTGAGTTTGGAGGTGATATCACTATGAGTAAGAGTATAAGTTCTTGGCAATTTTGGGTGTTTCTCTTTATCAACTCCTAAAAACAATACCTTCAATTTTGATGCTTCAAATATTGCTGGCCCAAATAATCTCATCACCTAATCTCAATCATCCACCAACAAAAAATAACACACTAATCAATACCCATGTGGCCATATATACTCCTACGGTCCGGAATCAGTTGTCATGTTACTTGTTCAAATTATACCATCAACGTGACAATTAATTTCAAAACCCGACTCGAATAATAAAGAGATAGAGTTACTTACAGGGGCAAGAGATTGGCTTCTCTTGGATGAAGAAGATCTGCTACTCCTGAAATTAAAAAGAGAGGATTTATCCTCAGGAAATGAAGGTTTGAGCTTTGATGGCAGTAACATAGAGGCAGTTAAAGTGGCCATCACTCAAAAATTAGTAACTACAGAAGTATTAATAAATTAATTAATTACTTCTGTATTTTATTAATTAATGAATTAGAGGTCCAATATTTTAGGATTTTGAACAAGATTTTATATGTAACAAGAGTAGTCTACCAAAGACTAGAAAGGAAAAAAAAAAAAAGAAAGAAAGAAAGAAAGAAAGAAAAAGAAGATACTTTGAGTAATTGGGTGTTTTTCTTTGCTTAAGAGTTTTAATTATATTTTGGAAAACTTTGAAGCTTTGTTTTCCACCTTTTCAAAGGAGGAGAGAGAAAGAGAAAAGCGTGTAGAGAGTAGATTCACAAGTTTGTTCTACCGTGAATTGAGGAAATTGCTTGAAGTTACTAACTTCTACTAGTAATTGAAAATGAAATGTAGGTAATTTACACGTGTTTCAATTTTAATTTTGTATTGATTTGGAAATTTTGGGGACATTTTGCCATTTTGGACCAATTATATAACGGCGGTATGTGGCTATGTGCTTCCTCTTCTCATTTTTGAGGGTATTTTTCTATTTTGGAGTTTTGAAATGATTGTCATTTAAGATTTAACTCATTTTTTGTGTTGGACTAGCAAATTTAAATTTTCCGGGTTTGGTTTAAGGAAATCGCAAGGAAATTGAATTAAATATGAGGTCTCCGTGGAAGATAATCTCGGCGAATATGACTGTGAAGATCGCTGATCATGCCTAGATCATAGGAGATAAATGTCAATATGTTTTTATTTGATGGTACTAAGTAGGCTTCATTGGTTTTTTTATAATTATGAATCCACCTTTCACGAACAAATCATTTAACTTGCTTTAAGAAAAACAAAACTACATAAGTACATCATATTTGTAATACTTTTATATTTAAGTTTTTTTAAAGGTAAAGAAAATAACATTGAATCTGACTTTATAGGAAATAGGTCAATAAGGATTAAAACTAGAGATGTATGGGTTCCAAATCCACCTTCTTTTTAGATTGCCTTGTGATCTGTTATAATCTGCAATACTTCTGTGTTTAAGTGTTTATAGTCAATTTTATCAATCCAGACTCCTCTATCTTACTACTCATTATGATAGAGCATATTTTCCTTTATCTTACTACTCAATCCAAGTTCAACAAATCATCTTCCTCCTATTGTGTGACATTCATCTATCCACAGTAAAATCAACAGTGCACAATCTTTTTGTATGAAATTGTTAGGATGAGTATTTACTCAACTCTCACCACTACTAGACTACTACCTTTAAATAACATTATGAACTAAACTGGTCCGAATCACATACATGCTACAAAATGAATATGTCAATCAATTTTCAAGTGAAATGAGGTTAATCCTCAAGCAAGCTAAGGGTACGCGTATAATACTTCTCATAATTATTATCATTAGTAAAGAGAAGGTCCATCCTAAGGAAGGGGATTTTAAGGAAATCCCTTTTAGAATGAGCTTAGTGAGATTCAAACTTGGTCTCATGCCTGAAAGTCGGAGAACTAACTAACTACTCTAGTCGACTAGCCAAATATCTTATAAAACTTCTCACAAATTGTCATAATTGCTTTAGAAGGGTTTGATGTAATACCCATACTAACAACTCAACAAGATTCACTTTCTTTTTTGGGAACTGGTATTTTAAGATACCCCATAATCAAGCACATTTGACACGGGGTAAATCAGGATCTGCATTATAAGACAAAATACGCTAAATTAACTTGTGTTAATTTTTTGGGACAATTATCAGTCTCAAGCACATAGTTTTTTTTTTTTTTTTTTTTTTTTTTTCTTTCTTTTTTGACAAGAGCAAATGAAAACAAGCTACATTACATCAAATTCATAAGATTAACCCGACATTGTCTCGTAATGTCGTTTGCTCTTTGAACCTGATCTCTCTGCACTTTTAGGATCGTGCATCTTTGGAACAAGGCACCCACTTCCCTTAACCCCTTAAGAAACCAAATGATCGAGACCTCCTTGCCATGGTAATCCTGTAGATTGTTCAACAGGGATAATGAGTCAGTTAGTAACAGGATTTCATTCCTACCTTTAGAATGAGCCCATTTCATCGCTTCCAAGCAAGCCCAACCTTCACATTGTATTACAGATGCTGCAACGCCGTATTTTCCTCCCTCCTCAAGCACAAAGCCTAGGTTATTGCTCTTAACCGCCCAGCCTATCTCTGCTCTTGTAGTCCTCTTATCCCAGGAGCTGTCAGCTTCTAAAATGAAGTCATCAAACCCCGCCTTCTCCTTCCCTAAGTGGACATAGTTAAAACCCGGAGGATGGATAGGTTCATCCCTGCTAGTAGGCTCTTCCGCCGTTATCATACTCGCAAGATGGGAGAAATATTCATGATCTTGTATTGCAAGATTTATAAATTCCCTCACTAGGCTACTAGTCCCAACCGTATCCCTGAAGCATCTGGCATTCCTAGCCTGCCACATACCCCAAAGAGACGCAATAAACCTTGCACATCGGGTTCCTTGTTTACCATCCTCGCTATAAAAGAGCAGGATATAGTGTTGGATCCATTCTTTAAAAGAAATAGACCCAGGAAAGTCAGGGCAAACGTCTAAGGAACCTGTTTCCCAGACTTCCTTTGCCTGAATACAATACCTGAAAAGATGCTGGTTGTCTTCCTCTTCCTCTCTACAGAGGTCACACTCCGTTTCGATAGGTATACCCCTGTTTGCCAGATTTGCCTTGACGGCAATGCCATCATGAAACAGCTTCCACAGGAACACTTTCCATTTTGGCTGGATATCCATCCTCCATACCAGCTTCACAAACTCCTGATCCCTTGCCAAGAAATTAGCACTATCTAGACCCAAATTCTTAGAAAGATAGTAGTACCCCGTTTTAACCGTATATCTGCCCGATGGATGGTACTTCCAGTAGGGGAAATCATCCTCATTGGAAAGCGGGAGTTCCATTGGCAGGATTGCTTTCGCCCAATCCCAATCGAAACATTCCCAGATCTTCCCTGCCTTCCAAGCTTTCGTTTCCCTATCTATAAAGTCACTAACCTTCCACATCGAGGCGGCCCCCAGAGTTTGGCCTGATTTTACTAATGGGATCTCCCCTTTCACCCATGGCATGCTAATTGTCTTAATATTTTCCCCATTCCCTACCTTCCATGCGAAACCCCCCTTGAATGATTGAGAGGATTTTTGAAGACTTGTCCTTCCCAGGGACGGAGTTCCTCTTCTGATATATGGTCTAGCCATGTTGCAAATGCGACATGGTTGAAAACTTGTGTGGACTCTAGAGAGAAGCAGCTATGGGTTGAGATGCATCCTTGTAGCCTGTTTGAAGAGAAGGGCATTGTTGAGACTAAAGAGTTGGCGGCAATCAACTCATCAAACTCAACTAGGAGTAACTGGGTAAGGGTGCTACGTACAATTTTTAATATGCTACCTTATGATAATATGCATCAAATGCATACATGTTTTAACGGTTAAAGATTGGATTTCTTAACCAAAATCAGTTTTTAATCTCTGTATACTTAAATTGTGTCCTAACCCAGCTAAAAGCTGATAAGAATCTAAGATGGAGACAAGCCATGGCAAAGGAGCTCAATGCATTGATTTCTTACTATACATGGTATGTCGGTCACAAATTCACAATTTCAAATGGAAGGCTCAAATAATTCTTTTTTTTTTTTGTACGGTAAGGAGAACCCTGACTAGACTTCAACCATTACGGTTTTATTGGTCCAATATTTACGGGTCAGACACATGGGATTAGAGGGAAGGGTGAGGAAATCCTAACCTCACCCAAAGCATCCTCAATTAGTAAGATTTGAACCCAAACTTATAGGATCTAAGGTAAGAAACTTACCAAGTGAGCCAACACTTTATTGGTAAATAATTCATATTATTGGTTACTCGTACAAGACAAAGTTGTTTACTACCTCCGTTTCGTAATAATTGCAACTATAAGGAGGCCACAAAGTTTTAGGAGAATTATAGGGTAGGGACCAACGGAATAATTTTATAATATAAAGTATAGTTAATGGGGATATATTTAATTGTAAATAAGAGAGAGAAATAATAATAAAATAAAATACAAATTAAAAAAAAAAAAAAATAAATTACGTGGGGTTGGTAAGAGAGAGAAATAATACGAGTAAGATATTAGTGGGTCCTTACCATATAAAGACGTGTTACAATTATTATAAAATAAGAAAATGTTGTGATTATTACAAAACGCAGAGACTAATATTGATTAATAATATACAGTACAATTGATTTTGATTGTTAAGTAACAAGACGAATAAAGCACGTTTACTTTGTGAAGAACCTGTGGTAGCGTCCCATATCCATGGCCTACATCTACATCGAGTGCATTATATTTGCTCAGAGCCTCAGATATGAATATATGATATGTCCGAGTGAGCAGGCCATGCCACCATTACACGCCTTTTCCATCCTCAAAAGGCCAGTTGGCCAATGACAGCACCATTTCAAGATTCAACTAATGTGTATCTCGGGCGATGTTCCGGATTGCTAGTTTGTACTTTGTACTTTTTTAATTTGATAATTATGTTCAATTGATTGTATAGTTAGTGTGTGATCCGAATGTTGCCTTGAATGTTACGGTTCATCTAAGTTCATATGTATTTATTTTCTAATGTTGTGAAGAATGAATAAATTAAACAACTTCTAATTTGAAAGGAATATATAATGTTAATTATGTGAAATTTAAAACACTAATATAAGTTGGTTGAGATGGTAAGTGTATAACCTTTATTTGTTGGTGATTGCGGGTTCAAATTTAGATCAAACCGTAATTTTTTTATTTTGTTAAATGAAGTTGCTAACTTACATGTCGCATGTACTTTGAATAGTGACATGACATTGTGACATGGTGTCATATACGTTGAAAAGTGTCACGTGCCACCGTTCCTTTAAAAGAAACGCCTTTTAATATATAGTATAGATTATTTCATAAACGTGCTAAATTGCATATTTTATTTATCTAAATATTGTTGGAACTAATTTCCAAACTATACTCACAATTGTAATTTGATCCCATCCTCTAATTGTCCCAAATAATAATGTGGAATAATTGAATTTTGCCCAATTATTTGGGAGGTATGGAGTACTAAGTGTTTAGTTAATTCATTGTTCATAACAAACAAATAAGAAGTAATGATATGTGATACGAAGCATTTTAAATGAACATAGAGTAGTAATTTAAACTGTTGATAGCATATACCATGTACGATGTGAGAATCATTAACTGGAATACTTACATGAATATTACCCGGTTTAATTGGCTAAATTTTAGTTATTAGACCAATACGCACATTTGGTCCTTCAAAGTAACCAAACCCTTAACCTAAGCAATCAATTAGCTTAAAATCTCAATCAAAAGTTGTAGATTTAATTGCTACCTATTCAACCTCAATCTTCAAAAATCAATATATTGCCACAATGCTACACAGCAAACATATGGAAGATATGATTGATTGTGCCCCGAGGAACACTAATAATCTTCATGCACCCACATATTCCCACAACAAATAACATCTACATAAACAAAATAAATAAGCATTTAACTCATTAGAATAAGCATCTCACCTACTTATATTACAAAACTCTAAACTTCATTAATCTCAATCAAACACAAATACACATCCTAAGACCCTTAGTATAGGCAATATAAATAAACACCTAATTAGACTAGGACTCCTTGTGATAATATACTCTTTTTTTTCCTACACGTAAAATCCAATCCTTAAGGACTAGTAAAACCGTGTAGGACCACTGAAAAAACATTAAAAAAAATGACTTATCCTGATTGGACTGGGATTGAGCCTAGTAACTTGCCTTGTCTGCCAAGGGTCCTCTGCAACCCCGATTACCCATGTATCAAAATAATCGTCTAACCAATACAACAAACCCAAAACAACCCTATACAGATTACTCAAAGATGATGTTGACTTTTGAGTGTTGACCCATGCTACTCAAAGTCTCAAATACACATCTTTCCAAAGGTTTTTTTTAAAAAAAAAAAAAAAAAAGCAATTAAGTAAAATGAAAGACGACATTCGTCCCAACCCAACTTCACATACACCTTAACATGTCTGGCTGGCTATGTATGGTGCAACATTTAACAAAGGTTGGAGTGCCATGACAACGATGCTCATGTTTAGCCGAAAATCAGGTTCAGGATTTAAGCACAATTCAGCAATTGCAGCCATCTGCATAATGATGTAATGTATTAGCATAGATTCTAGTATTAATTCATTAGTCAGTAAAATTTACTTGCACATAGAGAGAGCATGTCATTTAACAACCACCAACAAATTGGTATCCTAGCCTAAAAGAAAGAATTATCCATGCATGAAAGATGTATATCAGTGCAACACCCATAGTTATTAAAATCCCGATTTTATGCTTAAAATCTTACAATTTATGTATGTCCATACGATTTGATTTACGATCCCACCTGATACATATTTCTCTCTATCAATCAATCAATCAATCAATTAAAGCCTTAATCCCATAAGTGGGGTCGGCTAACGTGAACCAAATTTGATTATTCCGTGTAGTCATCGACATAAATCTTCCTCCTCCATCCCTTACGATCCAACGATTCATCCTCATGCAAATCCATATACTTCATATCCTTCCTAACTCCTTCCAATCAAGTCATTTTCGGTCTCCCTTTCCCTCGTTTAACCCCTCCATGGTCCCACTCTTCTACCTGGTGCATATTTCTCTCAAATAGCGAAAATTTTACAAGTTTAAAACATGTCTACAAAGTTATTTATAAATATACATTGTCTATTATTGGTTGTTTATTGAGTGAACAACTATTTTCTATTAATAATTAGACTTTTAACTTATAAGTTAAATATATTCAATTAAATTCGAATATGACATCTTTATTATGCATATTTGATTTTACGATTCAATTTTAAAAGCCCCTTTCAATTTAAAGTAGAATCTCGAATTTAATAACCTTGGCAACACCTCTGCCACGATATTCTCCATCGAGCCTAGGATCAACACACTGCTCGACGTTGTCTTCACTGAGTTTAGGTCTAGCCTGACATCATTAAGCATATGCACTGTGTTAGAAGCAAATCTAAGTCATTTGTACCAAAAAATATCACAAAACAGAGCAAAATAACGAGTACCCATGTCACCAGACTTTGCTGTCCACGAGGTAAGGTATAATCAACAGGTTTCCGACCAGTGAGAAGCTCAAGCAATACAACACCAAAACTGTACACATCGCTCTTGTCATTGAGCTGCCCTGTCATCGCATACCTACAGACATAAAACATTTCCACATGAACAATAATCAGATTAAAGGCAAAATAGTTCAAGAGTGAATCTTCTAATTGGATAGAGAGCTAATAAAACCTGAAGGTACTCCATCCTATGACTAATCATAATAGTACTCCCTACGGAGGGGAGTCGAGTACTCTAGTTTCGTAAACACCCCTCCAGTAGCATGTGTCATGAGGCCCTCAAGACACTAGGATTTTTTTTTTTTTTTTTTTATGTTGTTTCGGCTCTACAGGGTGTCAACGAAATTAAGTCACAGAACTACCAGAAGATTATGCCAGTGGCCTGGTGTTAAAACTATCCTAGGCCATTCATAAACTATTATTATACTAGTGTGATACTTTAACATAAGTAACCAATCCAATCCACACCACATTAGTGAGCCTTGGTCAGCCAAAATATTTCCTTGATTGCTGAAAGATAAAATAAAATCTTTTGGAAGGTCATTTATGGTTTATAAAGATTCCCCAACATGCTGAGTAATTCCAAATAGAGGTTAAAAAAACAGGAGAAAAGATCCTTACTCAGGTCCATGATAGCCACGAGAATGAAGTCGTGCTGCCATATCCGGAGCTTTATTTGACAGATCAAAATCACCAATCTTAGCAACATCATCATCAAAGAGCAGTATATTACTAGACTTAATATCACGATGAAAAATGGGGGGAGCTGCCTTCTCATGCAAAAACTCAAGCCCCCTGGCAGCACCTACTGCAATTTTAACCCGTTGAGCCCATGACAAAACAGGCCCAGGTTGTGCTCCTTCAACACCCTTCCTCCCTAGACAAAGTATAACAGGAGTATGTAAAAATTGACGAAAATAAATTTTCACTTCCAAGACATAAAAACAAAAAGTCTCTGTGAACACACATGACAAGTTTCAATGGCTTAACTACAAGTACAAATCAAATTAAAAGAAACTCACTAATACGCACAGATTATTCAAACTCACATAGCATAACAGCTAGTTCATGTTTCTTGCAGCACTTAGATTTTGAACAGATTAATGAAAAAAGGACCATGAATCACCATATAACGACAACCTGCAGCAATAAACATTTCATATCATTTAGTAGTCCTTAGTCCTTACATGAGATGATGAGAAACGCATCATTTATCTTATTCATAAGAACCAAGAGATAGAAAGTCCAAAGCTTAAATAAGGCCCAAAAATCTTGCATAAAGAAAATATCAATCAATCTGGACAAAAGGCAATAGTAATAACTAATAAGACAAAAGGGGCAAAGGAAAATAAAGGAAATTAAAGGCCTTTAGGCTCCAAACACCACAAATTCCAGCTTACCATGAAGGATGTCATGAAGAGTTCCATTGGATGCAAACTCATAAGCAAGAATATGTAGGTTGTCATCAACACAGTAACCAAGCAATTCAACAAAATTTTCATGTTTTAGCCTTGAAACCATAGAAACCTGCAAATAAAAACGATAAAATAAGCATCACAGTTTTCTAAGGTAAAAATAGCACTTTAGTAGATCAATAATTTCAATATGATTTCAAAGGTTGTAAACCTGGGATAAAAATTCGTCATCTGGTTGTTTGCTGGCATCCAGTTTTTTTATAGCTGCTGCACGCCCATTTTTAAGCTTACCATAGTACACGCTGCCATATGCGCCTTCCCCTATTAAAGCATTGGAGCTGTAGTTTTCTGTAACTTCCCGTAGTTCATCCACAGAAATTTGAGGGACAACAATAGGCTGGACTTCCACTGGTGGCTTGCTAGGTTCATCATCAACTAACTGATCATTTCCATCTCTCCCTACATTAATAAATTTTTACTTTTAAAACTCAGAAACTAACAGCATATGAAAAAGAAAATAAACCAAGGATGCGTCGCCACAATAAATTAAGATTTCTGACATCAAGAACTTCAAATCAAACACAGACAGGCACACATGCATATGTATTAACAGCACACAGACCAATTCTATTCAGCATGATACACAGAGTATCTCTAAGACTATCAGCAGATTTGTAACACTATGAAATCAAATGCTTTCACAACATCCAAAGCAAGGCGCTCACGAACAATCGGTTAATCATAGTTTATTAAGTAATCACTAACAATAGTGGGTTAGGATTTTAAATCATACCATCAGAAACAGAGTGAAGGTTGGGGGAATTGAGTTGTATGTCCAAATTATTTTCCCAATCATCACAGTCTGGAGTGTCAAGAACTTCAAGGTCAATCTGGGTTTCGACAATATAAGGAACTGGAGCCTCAATTTCTGAATCAAGACCCTCAATATCAATTCCAGCAGGCACAACATCCAGTTCAGGACCCGAAACCTCCGAAATAGTAGTGCCATCCCCTGATACAAGAGCCACAACACCGGAATCACTAACCCCATCAACAACTTTTTCAGCCAAACCATCCATTGATTCCAAGGATATTACAAGTTGAACAAATCAAATTGAAGATCTAAGGTTACAAAGAGATGTAATTTTGAACAGAAAATAAAAATAAAAATGATATATGAATAAAGTTTATCAATTTTTGGATCAAGCATTCAAAGGTAAAGGGGAAGTACAAAGAGGAAAAGGGCACAAATCAATATATACACCGGTTACATGTAGTTCTACGAGTCGCATTAAGGGGCTGTTAGGTTGGGGTAGTGGGTAAGAGAATTAACATACTATATTCCCATTGGGGTGGTTTGTTTTACATATTTCTTTGTCATTTCTTGATTACTTGATTTCTTATCCCTTAGGTTTTTCCATCCTCTTTCCCTTTCTCGCTATCCCTTTTCTCCTCTCAAATCCTAAAACACCATAGCCACCCCTCCCCTTCGAGACTCCGCCAACCATCTCCAACCACCATCTTAAGAGATCGTTCGGTTGGATCATTTGGAATGGCTTGATATTACCTGGGAATCGTTAAAAGCTTGAGAGATAGCCAAAGTGATATTGGAGGTGATATCACAAGTTTGAGGGTTAGTTCTACCGGGAGTGGATGAAATTGCTTAAAGTCACTAACTTCCCTTCGGGGATGTTTGTTAATTGATACCCCTTGAAAATAAAGTGTTCTAATTATCACAAAACGGAGAAAATATATATGGGACTGTTTAAGGCTGGCCTGGGAGTTTAGTGGAAATATTTTATTTCCAATTGGTGAAAAGTCCTATATTTGTTTCTCTGGTTTGGGAATAAAGAGTAGGAATAGATTTAGGGTTCTACCCCATCTATTCCCAACAAAATATTACCAAGAGAGGCAAATTATTAGGATGGGAATTGAAATAGGTGGAAAAGGATTAAAATGTCATTAATGAATTGGTAAGTGGAGAAATTTTGATGAACATACTTTTGTAATCTTGTACAGAGTGCGAAGTAATTAGTAATATATTACTTACATATTATCATTCACTACCAAACAAGATAACGCTTGAGCGTAGAGGGGAGGTAAGGGAATCCTCCTATGTTACTGAGTTTGCTTGGTTAATAATCACTGCTCTTGAAGTTTTGATACCATACTTTATTAACTTATCCGATTATAATTAAAAAAAGGGTGAGCTTATGTGTTCAAGCATGTATGTGTGTTGGCATGAAATTTGATTGAGTGAAAAGAGAAGACTTCAAGTCAATTTGAAAATTATAGTCATGTGAAATCTTGTTAGATTCGTCATGAAATAAATTTTCAAAGTATCACATTTTTGCTTATCAGTAATTAAAGATACTACTGGTTGATTTTGTGCATTGACAAATGTGACTAAATTAACGTGTCAACTAAAAAGATACGGAGGAACTATTATCTTGTATTCCCGTGTTTAATGCATATTTTTCACTTCCTTTGTCTAAATTTCTGCACAATTTTCCCAGTGTGTAACATGAACATAATTGGAGCTGTTTTAGGCAGATTATGGCTATTAGCATATTAGTCAGCCCTTTCTGTATCAGCTGTAACACCATTAAGGCAAAGGGTAGGAAAATGAAATGTCTATTGCACTTACTTTCTTCTCTTCATGTAGTGTCAAAGTAAAAAAGGCCATAGCATCACCATCATATGGAGTGGAAACAGCTGCAACACCACCATTGGATCGGCATAAGGTTGCTCGACAATTATTAGTCTTAGATGTACTACAATCCTTGCCCATAGAGAGGGAAGTAATCATCTGGACAGAGTATATGATAGACCGATGGTTATCATCAGAATATAGGGCTAGTTACCATTTAAACTTGTTATTTGAAAGGTACTCTGTAGATAAGGTAGACACTAGACAGGAGACTATTTAGGGGCTCACAAACCTGGCATTACTGCTAGAAAAATGACCTAATCTTTCTACTTGTACTGAGCAGTAAAAAAAAATGTACAAAAAAAGAATTAGTCCTCGCTTCATGGGAGTTTAACATAACATACGAAGAATATATATACTTCAATAATAAACAGCTATAATTTCATTCAACCGAAGTGTATGAGCTGGAAAAATACGACATCAACATCCAGACCACACAATAAATCAATAACCACACTATTAGCAAACCAAAATTACAGCTTATCAACCAAAAGTGAGCACTGCACAAGCTAGAATAATTTTTCTGTAGTCCAGAAAATTTTCTCTCATGTATACTTTGTACTACCAAAAACCATAGCCACATAATAAGACGGACAAATGGCAGGGAAGGAGAGATCAAATTGTTCATGAGCTTGGAACATCATGGCTGGCAACATGCCGCGCAGCATTTAACAAAGGTTGGAGTGCCTTGACAACAATGCTCATGTTTGGCCGAAAATCAGATTCATACTGTACACACAATGCAGCAACTGCAGCCATCTGCATAATGAGCCAATGTATTAGCATAGATTCTTGTATTAATTCATTTGTCAGAAAAAACTACCTTGCACAGAAAGAAAGCATGTCATTTAACAACCACCAACTGTTATTCAAGCCTAAAAAGGAGAATAATCCAGGCATGAAAAACGTATACCTTCGCAACAGCTTTGGCAGGATACTCTCCATTGAGTCTTGGATCAACACACTGCTTGACTTTGTCTTCACTGAGTTTAGGTGTAGCCTGACATCATAAAATTTATGCATGTGTTAGGTGTAAAGCCTAGTTATCTGTACTAGAAAAATCAGAGAACAGAGCAAAATAATAAGTACCCATGTCACCAGACTTTGCTGTCCACGAGGTAAGGTATGATCAACAGGTTTCCGACCAGTGAGAAGCTCAAGCAAGACAACGCCAAAACTGTACACATCACTCTTGGCATTAAGCTGCCCCGTCATTGCATACCTAAGGACATGAACAACAATGATCAAATAAGAGGCAACATAAATGGAGAGTGAATCTTATAATTAGATAGAGGAAGCTAAATAAATCTGAAGGTACTCCATTCTATGACTAAAGAGGAGACTCTTTGCTTAATCATCAAGCCGCCAGTGTTCGGATGTTTCTGCGACTGTAGAGATTGACCTAGTTGAACATAAATTTAATAATACTCCCTTCAACAGAAATACAAAGCCGCTAAACATGAAGGCCTGTTACACATGAATCATATAATTACATATGTAAACATGCTCAGAGATTTTTTTGGTGATGAAGGATAGGATCCTGAATCATTAATTTACATACCAGCACCAAATCAGGCAACCAATAATCACCATCACTACTTTATAAGAAAATAAGAAGATATTACCTTTGGTGCAACAGTAAGAGGCTTACCAAAAGCATTAAGTCAAAAATCAATAAAGGTCTAGAAAGCGTAAGATGTACATAGCCATAGAAGCAGGAAAAAAAAAAAAATCACGGCATACTAAGGCCATACAGCCATTTAATTCTCTAGGGTATTTAGATTTCAAGGGGCCCTGGAGCTGAAAGAAAAAAAAAAAAAAAAAACAGATAATGCAATTCCTAAAATTCAAAAGAAAAGAAGATAACCAAACAAAAAAATACGGGAGAAAAAGGGATGTCATTATGAGGACTAAGGAGTCAAGGCCCAAAGAACCACCCCTCCAGTGGTGTGTGCTGTGACTCCTGTGAGGCTCTATAGATATTAGGTCTTCTGGAAACATTGTTTCGGATCTACAGGGTATCAAGGGGATAAATTCACAGAACAACCAGAAGACTACGCCAGTGTGAAAACTATCATTGGCAATTCATACACTATTACTATACTAGTCTAAAACTCTATTTTAAGAAACCATCACAATCCACACCAAGTTAGTCTAATGCAGGGTGTCATGGGTCTAAGTCACAAACGCCTGTGTTAAAAACTATCTTCGGCCATTTATACACTATTACTATACTAGCCTAATACTCTAATTTAAGTAACCATCCCACTTTACACCATGTTAGTCTAATGCAGGGTGTCAAGAAGATTAACAAATATCAGAAGACTTTGGCACTGTCTAAACTATCCTTGAGCCATTCATACACTATAACACTTTGATTATAGTAGCCATCCTTGGCCGCTCGTATACAGGGTGTCAAGGGGATTAGTCTGATACTTTGAGTAAAGTAACCATCTCAATCCACACCGCATATGTGAGCCCTAGTCTAATACTATAAATGAAAAAGACCATTTTGATAGTCATATGTGGTAATAAAAATTCCCCAACATACTGAGTGATTACACATAGAAAAAATGGAATTTGAAGTCCTTACTCTGGTGCATGGTAGCCAAAAGTTCCAAGAACTCTTGTCGAATGAAGTCGTGCTGCCATATCTGGAGCTTGATTTGACAGGTCAAAATCACCAATCTTAGCAACATCATCATCAAAGAGCAGTATATTACTAGACTTGATATCACGGTGAAAAATAGGGGGAGCAGCCTTCTCATGCAAAAACTCAAGCCCCCTGGCAGCACCTACTGCAATTTTAACACGTTGTGTCCACGACAGAACAGGCCCAGGTTGTGCTCCTTTGACACCCTTCCTCCCTAGATAAAATATAACAGGAGTACGTAAATATTGATGAAAATAAATTACCACTTCCAATAAAACAAAAACACATTTCCAGTTTCATTAGCTTAACTACAAGTACATACTCACCAATATGCACTGAGCATTCAAACTCACAAAGTTAAATATACAGTACTAAGATATTGAATCAACTAATGAAAAAAGGACCACATATCACCATATAATGACCAAATGCAGTAAATAAATTGATATCTATCATTAGCCCTCAGTCCTTGCACAAGATGATGAGAAAGCATCAAAACTTATCTTCCACCTTAATAATAATTCATAAGAAACAAAAGGTAAAAAGTCCAAAGCTTAGTTAAGGCTAAACGCTTATTACATGAAGAAAAAACCAAACAATCTGGGAAGGCAGTAGTAATAAGAGAAAAGGGGCAATGGGTAAATCAAAAATATTGTAGGTCTAGGCTCCAAACAACTCAGAATACAGCTTACCGTGAAGAATGTCATGAAGAGATCCATTTGATGCAAACTCATATGCAAGAATACGTAGGTTACCATCAACACAGTAACCAAGCAATTCAACAAAATTTTCATGTTTTAGCCTTGAAACCATAGAAACCTGCAAATAAAAAGGTTAAATAAGCACCCCAGCATTATAATGGTAAAAATAGCACTATAGCAGAACAAAATTTTAATATGATTCTGGAAGTTCTAGACCTGAGCTAAAAATTCTTCATCTGGCTGTTTGCTGGCATCCAGTTTTTTTATAGCTGCTGCACGCCCATTTTTAAGCACCCCATAGTACACTCTGCCATATGAGCCCTCCCCTATTAAAGCATTGGAACCGTAGTTCTCTGTAACTTCTCGTAGTTCTTCCACTGAAATTTTAGGGACAGCTATAGGCTGAACTCTCACTGGTGGCTTGCTAGGTGCACTATCAACTAACTGATAATTTCCATCTCTCCCTACAAAAATTTATTTATTTTTATTACATATAAAACACAGAAAAGACTGATAAAATAGCATATGATAAAAAATAAACCAAAGATGCCTAGAGGCTCAGACTTAACACAATAAATCAGGCTTTCGGACATCAATTCAAACACACACAGACAGGCACACATATGTGCATGTATAATAAAAAATAAAAAATAAAGTATAACTGCTCACAGATTTCTAGCGTTACAATTCTATTCAGTATGATACATTTAAGATATTAAGTAATCACTGACAACTGTGAGTTCGGGTGAGTTGAGAAAAGCCAATTGGGTGATTTAAGATCAGTAACCTCATAATGTGTTTTCAACATTATGATGAGTGAAAAAACAGCAATAAGACAGAAAACTCTCAATAACCGTTTCCTCTATTTCATTCATTTAAAAGGTGAGGGTGAAATTGAACAAGCTTAACAGAGATTCTATTTCAGTTGTTCTCAGCTATATGCTTAGAAGGCATCATATTTTACAAAATACAAGCTGTCAGCATCAACTAAAATACCTGCTAGAGTTCTGGGCATATAACCACCTCCATTGTCTGAAGTTCTATGGGCTGCATCTCCTCCAAAACAGCCAAAGCAACTCATATTCTCTCCCTTTCACTAGGCTGCCAAAATTATGCATCAAAAGATTGCCTCATAAATCTAAAGAGGAAGAATAATGAGCTCATGTTTGGGAAACAAGACAACAATTCACCGCAGTAGTATCTCAATTCTCATGTAACAAGGGCGTCTCAGGTCAGGAGGCCCAAGCAATGCCCAAAACTCCCATGCCTTTCTTGGTCGGACCAACCCAACCGGCAATTTCTGTCTTCCTGAATTGGGAGAGCAAGAATAAGTCTAGAAACTTAGAGACTAAAAAATTAACAGGTACAAAGTATGTTATATTAAATAGTACAGTAAATTATACAGTACAGTATTACAAAAGCAAGCAGCTTATAATGTTAGCAATTTTGCATGCAAAAACCAGAAGTTTGGCAAATAAGAGACCAAGCATGTAATGGAGACACCCATGAAGCCATGACCAATTAAACAAAGGAAAGGAAAGATGTTATCTAGTAATAATACAATGCGCTAAAACAAAACAGAATCTGCTATGCACTAGAAGAAATTTCTAGGATGATAGGAGACACAATGGATCTTAGACTAAAATTGGACAAAAAGTTTTTTTATAAAATAAAAGCAATAAAATTTACAAGGAGCACCATAGAGGCAAGACTGAATTATTGAAAAGGAAGAATTTATCTTCACTCATCAGCCTTACACTAATGCTTTTGTCATATACATAAGTGAAAATTTGCAATAGATATCAATCCCTATGACATTTCTGCCTGTTAACTTAAGAGACCAGACAGTCAACCATTATGTACTTAAGACCATTTACCCCCAAGAAAACTTTTACTCCGTATCATGGCAGCAGTCAGCAAATACACCAAAATCGCCAAGCATGAAGCCCCCAAATCAGACATCAGTACGGAAACTAACCAAAATTCCAATGAGCAGTAAAGCACACATCCAAACTTATTTTACATTTTCACAAATTCCTTCTCAACATCTTCAATGACTAGAATAAAGCGAAAATAGCTGTAATATGTGTAAGGTATACCTTGTCAAATTAAAATCTGTTCAAATAAGGTCTTGCCTATTAAAAGCCTATATCAATATTTAAGCCCTCCTAAAATTCCTCACATCCATCTTTATTTTTCAAATTCTTCTATGACAAATTCTATACTTCAATTGCTTAAACTTTGAAGGATAGCATCACCTGAAACCTAAGGTGGAACTGACTATATTTTATGGATTAGTCAGTAAGCGACAAATATTAAAACATTATATAGGACGAGTGTTCACACAAGGCTACAGTTACAGAAGACATAGAGAGAGAGAGAGAGAGAGAGAGAGAGAGAGAGAGATTACAGCTTCTTCTCACAGGCCAAATTTTCCTAGGTATTACTGCAGCATACAATTTCAGTGTATCAAAATCATATACATCTATCAGGACAGGGATGCCTCTGTTGATATTCCATCATATCCTATATTCCATAATAAAAGTAATTTGTAGTACTATAATTTGCTCCAAACCTTGGTGGACAAAAGGCAGCTTGATTCCACAATTTTCTTAAAGCTTAATTGAAAAAACTATAGCAAGCTAAAGTCAGCAACCGTGTACAATAACTAACTGTATTTTCTTTTATTCCTCCTTTCTTCTCCTCCATATTTACCAAATTCTTTTATAATTTCTTGATATGCCAATCTTTCAGCTGGTATTCATTCTGAATATTGCCACATACACCTCACTAAAAATTAACAATAGCTTCATAATTTTTACATGTTCTCATAGTTGTCAACCTTGAAGAAGCTTTGCCAAAAGAAAAATCTAGCCATTAGTCAGTTCCTCAATATCTAGCATTGAGATAATAAGAGATAAATTAAAAGCCAAAATTCCTTAGATTGCTGTACAGTCCACATCACAATCTCTTAGATACAGGACCTTTGATTTAATGGAAAAAACACATCTAAGCAGGTTACAAACTACAAGTTACTCTGCATGCCTGTGGGAAGAGAAGTCCACGCTCCTTAGTGGACTAATGGAGAACATACTATCTTTGTGTGACTAGTTCGTAAAACGCAACAAGAACAATTATTTCCTTCATCATGACTCATGAGCCTAGATGTCAATATAGAAGAAACTGACATTTCATAAACTTTACCAAATCGCAGGACATCCTTAATCCACAATCTCCTTAACTGGATTACCAATGTTAGTCATGTCGCTTCACATAAAGTATAACAAAACAATTTTTTCAACAGGAACAACATTCAAACAACAAAAACAACCCCATTGTTCTTCCCAAAATTTTCTCTTTCGTCAAAATGTCACATTTGAGTCCATAAAACTCTTAGAGTTTAACGCTTTCAAAGTTTTAAAGACAAAGGCCACATTGCTATTACTTCCTCAAATATAAACAGTTCCGAAATTTCAAAAAATCAAGCCCGGGATCATATCTACTACTACTACTACTACAGTCTCCCTCTCCTTGCATTCCCTGTGTCTCATCCATTCAGCATCCCTATATATGGGGAAACCAATTTCCAAAAATGTAATTGCAAATGTCAATTCCCAGCCTTTCACCACGAGACATCATAATTGCAAAACAATTTCTTAGTCAATTTCATCTCCAAACAAAGTGAATTCCAAACCACCCACCAAAACCTTAACCTTAACATTTGACATGGTACGTAAAGCATGCAACAATATGCAATCCACAGATAGAATATCAACAAATATCAAACAATCCCGTTTTTTTTTTTTTTTTTTTTTCAAGGAACAATCCCACCTTATATATCATGAAAAATTCCACAATTTCCCATTTCAAACAAATACCAAGACAAAAAAATATATATATATCATACATACCAAATTGAATATAAACAACATCAAATTATAACAATTATAAAAATAGAAATTAATCAATATCATAAATGAAAACAAACCTTCAAACAAAACTGAACCCGAAATTACAATTGAAAATTCAGCCAATTATTTTTGACGAAGAACACAAAAACTTCTTCAGCAGCCGGCAAAAGATAAAATTAAATAAGACAATGAAAACAGGTATTAGCATAAATTTTTTTTAAAAAAACATACCAAAATATATAATAATTTAATCGTCAAAAACTGGGTAAAAGGATAGACTATGACTATTATTTTGTCCTGATATCTTCGCATATTCGTTAATTAAATAATTAATTGATAGCTAAGATTAATTAAACTAATAATCAAGAAGAACAATTATTTAGCAGGATTTTCTGTAATTAATCAGCATGTGGTAGATAATCATAAATAATTAATAAAAAAAAATGACAAAATAAATCAATCAAATGAGCCCTAATTTTGAAGATTAGCGTGAGAAAGGAAGAAAAATCACCGGAAATTGAAGAAGATGAAGAAGAAATTGGAAGCGCCGCCGTGATCACCGCCGTCTGTCGCCGGCGGAGGTTGCCGGAGAAAGAGGCTGAGAGGGCGGTTTTTGAGGGAATGGCGTGAGAGAATGTTGGTAGGAAAAATGTGATGACAGGTCGTTGGAATTGTTTATATATGGTCAACGCTACTATAAATAAAACAAAAGTCATTTATTGGGAATTAAATAAGATTGACTTGGTCCACGCCATCGCAATTGTATTGATGAATACGGAGTAACGCTATAAATTACGGAGTAAATGCTACGGCGTACATCTTCTAAATGTCAAAATGGTAAGATTTGACGGGCACAATTACCAACACGGAACTTTTTTTTTTTTTTTTGATGCAAATGTGGGAAAAACCGGTACAAAATAACAACTACGACACAACCATACGTGGCAAGGCCATTCCTATGATATCCTCATGGAGTAGGTGCTTTATTTCCGATGGCGGAGCATCGAAATAGACCACACCATTTGATTGGATGACACCTAAATTAGTCAATCTATCGGCTATTTTATTCCCTTCCCGATAACAATAAAAAACAAAAACAGACCAACCCTCCTAATTTATTAAGCTGTGACAATTATTTAACATATGATAGCACTCCCCTCTCTGGGTAACTGGATTCTTGAGAGCCTCCACGCATGCTTGATTATCCAACTGTAAATGTAGCTTGTGTATGCCCATTGACTTTGCCATCTCAAGGCCAATCTCAACAGCAGTTAATTCTGCCTTGAAAGCAGAGCAGATACCAAGAGGTGCAGCAAAGCCCTTGATCAAGATCCCACGATTATCTCTGATTACACCCCCTGCTCCTGCCAGTCCTGGTGTGCCCTTTGAAGCTCTATCTGCATTAAGAGCAAAGCAGTCCATAGGAGGTGCTAACCATCTAATAAGTGCTTCCTTCCTGTCCTTCTTTTGATCGAGAATACTCCTTCCAGAGTAGAGCCACTTTCATACATTGCAGCCCATGTTTCATCAACACGGTTTCTAATAAAGTCACCAGGGTTGATAGGAATCTCAGTACTCCTTCCAAAAGAGACACAACTTCTCCACTTCCAATTCCACCACAAGACAAGAGAGAAGCAAGCTGGCCATTTTTCTGAGTATATCAAACCATCAGCTTTAAGATTCTTGCTAACCCACTCCTTTAGATTACCATTCCAAAAGGAAGGGTAATTGGCAGATGCACCTATGCTATGCCAAATTGCACGGACTGCTGGACAGTCCCTAAGAAGATACAAGAGAGTTTCATCTGCGTTTTGGTTGCATCTCACACAACGAGGATCATCAGTTAAATTTCTTTAAGTCTATTAGTATTACACAACAAACGATTGTGTAACACCAACCACAAAAAGGCACGAATTATATGCTGAATAGGCACTTTCCATGCTATATTCCATAATGGATCACTAGGAATTGAGTCATCATCACGCATAAGCTGCATAGCATTTTTAATTGAAAATTTTCCTAATTGAGAACCTTTCCAGTACCTTAAATCACCCACCTTAGGATCTTCAATCACTTTATGCGCTACTATAAGTTGACAAGCATGGGCAGGGATCAAATCAGCAAAGGAGTCCCATTTCCATCCCACATTTGGCTCCCACATATCTTCTACAATTGCCCCATTAATATTCTCAAGAATTGGTGCAGTAGCAAGTTCTCTAAGAGGTATGTCAAAAGCCCAGGAATGATCCCAAAATAAAGTTCGTTGACCATTTCCTATAGAAACCTTTGAGCCCTTGACTAACCAATATGCATTCTCACTTATGCCACGCCATACATTAGACATGTTTGAGGTAGGAGCAAATATATCAATGTCACATCTTCCTTTGCAATATTAGTATCGAAGGACCCTTGACCATAGCACGTTAGGCTCCGTCAATACTCTCCACCCAAGCTTAGTGAGGAAAGCAGCGTTAGCTTGTCGTGCCGACCTTATTCCTAATCCACCTTTGTCTCGAGATTATTTGCAGGGCATCCCAAGATAAAAGATGGATACGGGCCCGTTCTTCATTCCCACCCCAAATAAATCGTCTTGTATGTTTGTTAATATCATCACAAACGGTTCGAGGTATTTTTGCTGATGCATAGAGTAATTAGCCAAGCTTGTAATGGTTGACTTTGCAAGTGTGATACGACCTGCTAATGACAGAAATTTCGATTTCCAACCTGTCAATCTCCAGTCAATTTTTTCACACAAGTGTGCAAATGTCTCACGCGTGACTCTACTTGTTAGAGTTGGCATTCCTAGGTAGGTGCCAAGATCAGAAGTAGACTCCATGCCTAAAGCCTCACTGATATTCACACAAGCCTCCTTTGTCATGTTATTAGAGAAGTACACTCTGGATTTATTCAAGCTGACTTTCTCTCCCGAAGCAGCGGAAAATCCATCAAGGCAATCTCGTATCACAATTGCTTGATCAATGAACGCTTCCGCTAATAACATTAAGTCATCAACAAAGAAAAGATTCGAAAGGCTAGGGCCGCCTCTACTAGCAAAAATCTGTTTCCACTTTCCTTCAAAGATTGCTTCTTCGATGACTTGATTAAGTCTTTCCATACACAATACAAATAAATACGGAGAAAGCAGATCATCTTGTCGGATTCCTCTAGTTGGTGAAAAGGCCTCTGTTTTTTCTCCATTCCATAAAACCAGCATCGAAGGGGAGGTAACACATTCCATAATGACTTCAACCATTAGCATCGGGAAATTCATTTCCATGAGAGTATCCCTGATAAAAGCCCACTTTAGTCTATCATACGCTTTTTTGAAGTCAATTTTGATAGTCATGTAGCCTTTCCCTCCTTTATTTTTTTTCATGTTGTGAATGACCTCTTGAACTATGACAATATTGTTAGTTATTTGACGCCCTAGAACGAAACTTGTTTGAGCTTGAGCCACCATTTTCGGCAGGAGAGGTTTGATGCGATTAACAATCGCTTTAGTGATTATTTTGTATGTCACTTTGCAAAGTCCGATTGGACGGAACTGAGATGGAAAATCTGGATTATCCAATTTGGGAATTAGCACAAGAAATGTATTGTTGAGCAAATCTGGTAGACCTTTTCCTTCTAACACTGAAAACACCATTGAATAGAAATTTGGAGCCACTAATTCCCAGTTTTTTTGATAAAATAGGGCCTAAAAACCGTCTGGTCCGGGTGCCTTTAGCGAGCCCATATTTTGTATGACATTATCATTATCACACTTACTGTATGGTTGATTCAATTTGTTTCGATCCTCAGCTGAAAATTCTGTGCAAACTCCAGAGGGGATATCATAAACACCTTCTGCTCCATCATCAGTGAATAACGAGGTAAAATAATTCACAATTAAATTTTTCACCTGTTCTTTATCATGCACCCATTGATCATTGTCATCTTTAATTGCGACAATTTTATTTCTCAATCGTCGAATAACTGTGCTCAAATGAAAAAAGGTGGTGTTACGATCACCATCTTTTAGCCTATCCACCCTCTTGCCTTTTGATACCAAAGGAGCTCTTCTTGGTTGAGGACTTGATCGAGGTCTCTCCTGAGTTTCGCCTCCAACTTAATCAGTCCAGAATTTTTCTGAGTAGCAGGCGCTACTTGGATGCTATTTATATGAGCCAACAATGACCTTTTCTCACGAAATATGTTATGAAAAACATTATGGTTCCAAGTTTGAAGGTCTTCCGAAAAGGTCTTTAGTATATGGATTAAAGGAACATTCAGCTTCCATTTTTCCTTGATAAACTCATCAAATTTTTCGTGAGTTAACTAGGCAGCTTGAAACCGAAAAAGGCGATTTAGAGAGGTAAGGGGCGCAAAACCATTAGGAGAAATCAGCAGGGGGAAGTGATCAAATTGCAAAGTCGGGAGATGTTTAACTCTGACTTTGTCGAATAAAAGGCTCCACTATGAGTTGCACAGTCCACAATCCAATCGAGCACTTGTATGAGTTTCCTTAGAATTCCCAAGTGCCCAAGTGTGAGAGGGGCCTGAAAATTCTAATTTGATCAACTGGTTGTCTTCCACCCAATGATTAAATTGAGTAGACCTCCTGGAAGTGTTGGAACAACTAGAACTTCTTTCCCATCCATACCTCGTCTCATTGAAGTTTCCGACCAAAGGCCAAGGCTTGTTATTCCTAGCAGCAAAATCTTTCAAGTCACGCAGTAAGTCTTGGCGTTTTGCAGGATCAGGGCTAGCGTATATCGCAGAGAAGAACCATGGAGTCTCACCTACCCGTGTTATCTCCATGGTAATGTATTGGTTGCTTTGCTCTATAGAATCCATAGTGACCAATTCCGGCTTCCAGTACACCAAAATTCCACCACTGAATCCTTGCGCTTCCACCCTTATATGACCAGAATAATTGAGAACATCAGCAATTTGCAGAGCTCTATCTCCTCCCATATGCATCTCAACAAGAGCAAACACCATAGGCTTGTTGACTTTAATCACCTCATGCAAAGTAATTAAAAACTCACGACTCCCAACACCTTGAACATTCCATAACATACACGTTATAGGGTATGAATCAAAATTGAAGTTATGTTCACTATTCATAGAAACTTTTGCAGAGGAAAAAGCAGCATTATAGGCATCAAAGATGTATCTCAAACTTTGTTTGACTTCATTGGGTAACTTCAAGGTTACTATCAATTCTGGCTTCATTTATGTCGTCATCATAGACCATGAGTGAATCTCCATCTCCAATTTGTGACTCAGGGGGTCTGCTATGCCCATGTACGGCTCCATCATCGGATCGCTTACACATAAAATCTTCTCCGGCAGAATCTGAAGCAAGATTGGGCATGGGTGAGACATGGCTATTGAAGTTAGTGGAGTTTGAGAGGGAATCGATGTCAGTGAAAGTAGGAGTAGGAGTAAGGATAGCTTCTTTGTTGGCTTGGAATGAAGATGATTGGAGAGTTGGCAGAATTGGTAGCTTCTAACTGCAAAGATTTTTTTTTGACTTGGTTGTTACAGCTCATTAGTTATATCTTTTAGGATAGAATCTTGAGACATATTCTGTTTCCTAACTTCTTGCCACTTTTTAGGATTATCACTCTTTTATCTTTGAGCTGATTGATTATTAGAAGATTTGCCTATATTAAAAGGAATATTTTCCTTCGATTGTATTAGGCGTTGAGAAGATTTTGCCAAGTCTACAGTTTCCATGCTAAGAGAATTAGAAAAACTTTCCTTATTCTTCTCCCCTTGGTCAACAGAATCCTCAGTTAGGGGCTGATTTTCCTAGGCAAGAATCGAAAATCTTGATCCTCCTATATCAGTTTTTTGAATATTGTTTGACTTTGTCTAACCTTGGTTAGCAATTTTACCAAGGTCAGGTCTTTCCTCTTCCGGCGATTTCTCTGATCTTGGTGTTCTTCTGCGAGGCGGTGGTTTCTTCACCATCATCCACGAACCAAAATCTTGTCTCTCCACAATTGGAGCCTGGCTCTCCAATTGGTTATTGCTAGGAGTCAACCGTCTTCAGTGTTCATACATCTTCAAGGTACCGTCTCTGCCCCTTGCAACTTTTTTGCGCTTTTTCCGGTTGTATAGCTTGTTAAAGAATAATGGACTCACCCAACACACACACGACACGGCCTTGGATAGTTGTCAGCCGGTCACCAGACACGGTTGAGTCTAGGACTAGGGATGCCGTTAGGGGGTGTTTGGACCACCCTTACTCTTCTGTGAATCCAACCGTCTCTGTTCATGTGCAGGACAGAATGGCTCGGACGAGACGGACGGCTGTAGACCCCAAATATGTGTAAGACGGCTCAACTGAAGCTCTGGCTGATGATGTACCTTATGACCAGCCGGACGTACCTAGCACGCCTGGAGATGATATCTTGGAGGAATCCGAGAGTACAGGCGGCAAAGAGACCGTCCAGCAATTAGACTCCATTGAGTCAACAATGGAACCGGATGCCCCTCAAGAGGATGAGGAGGCATATAAGTGGCTCTCTATCAACAATCCAACAGAAGCGCATATGACCGCCCGGGATGTGGTCACTTTAAACGTCACCCTTCCGGCATTTTTAGAAAAGCGCCCGGTTGGTAAAGGATGGGAGATTATTGTGCCACTTGTAGAGGCATCTGTCGTCTGGGATGACGACCTTGACCACGCCAATGACTATTTTGGCTGCTATGAGGCGGCATTCAAAGCCAGCCTCCGATTCCCCCTCCATAATACGATAAAGGCCATTCTAAGGGGTTACGACCTTGACGTCTGGTAGCTAACACCCAACTCTTGGGTGAATATACTAGGGTACATAACCGCCTGCGAGATGCAGAACATAACGCCTAGCTAGGAGGCGTTTGCACATATGCACTACCTCCGTGCCCCAGGCGGCTGGAATGCGTGGTATACATTGACCACGCATTCGGAATATATGATGACGCTTAACAAGCCGTCTAAGAGGAGCAGCTGGAAGAGCAAGTTTTACATGGTTTTTTCCTCCTCGCTGCAACTAAACCACCGACTGTGTCGCTACAACACACACCCGGCTCTCCTTGGAAAGAAGTGTGCCCTTCCCAAAGTACTAGAGGAGGCTTGGGATTAAATAATGGAGCCAGGTCTCTTCAAAAAGACCCCTTTGCCTCTGAATGATGGGACAAAAGTCATTGTCCCCAAAAAATAAGTCCCTCATCCGGACTGGCTAAAGGACGAGGCGTTCCTTTCCGCCTATGGCCTAAGCACAATGTGAAGCAGACGTATAATGATTGTTAATCGACACTTTATGCCGTCTGTATCATACTTGAATGAGTTTTGATTTTTTTATTTTTCTTCCTTACAGAGAAAGGATTAGAGATGGTGTCTCCCGAAAAGACACAGGCTAAGTCTGTAGCAGAGATCCGGAAGGATCAACTTGAGAAAAAGAGGGCCCAACTGGCGGCCAAAGATGAAGGGGTAATCGCCGGCTAAGCTCTTTTACCGTTTGCATGATTTGAAGTTTATTTTGATACTAATCGACTGTCTTCTTTTCTTTTTCAGACGGGGAGCAAGAATGTTCCTCGTTCTCTTGAGCAGATGCTGAAGAGGCCTGGAGAGGAGCCCTCCCAGCCTGCTTCAAAAAGTCGAAGGGTTCCGGCTGCCCCTGCCTCTACCGGAAGGCCGCCTGCGCTTGAGAGGCCTACTTTAGAGGGCAGAAGCCTTAAAGACCTTGTCCTTAGCTCAGGGTCGGCTGAGGTTAGAACGAGGGAGCCCGAAGTTCCCTCAAGCTTGGTGCTTGCTGTTGCATCCACCATGAGTCATCATCCTGCACCATAAAAATGTTAGGATTCGTTGCATTTAAATCCAAACCGAAGTTAAATTCAACCTCATGAATTGGATTACCTTTGGTGGGTGGGTCCTTGCTTTCATTAGCACGGCCCTCCTTGGCTTTCTCCATCCTTTACTTAAAAAAAAAGCAGTCCTTTTTTGCGGTGACCAACCTTACCGCATTCCGAACAAGCAAAATTGTTATTGTTTGCTTCCCTTTTGGACTTTCCTTTGGAAGAATTATTATTCTTCCTTTTTCCACTAGTAGATGCACTAGCTCTCCCTTCATCTACCATATTCACGGTAAATGTGCTAGGATTTCCATCCTTAGCTCCTTCCATGGCACGTATCCCTTCTTCAATTTGAAGATGGGTGGCCAAACCGGACAATGTCATATCCTCTTTCTTGTGTTTCAAGTCATGCTTAACACTTTTCCAACTAGGGGGTAATTTATCAATGATACTAGAAACAACAAACAGCTCATTCACAGCAATACAATGTTGTTCTAAGCTACCATAGATGCGTTGCAACTCATGAAATTGATCCATTATGGATCGACCATCAACAAACTTATAATTATTAAAATTGCTAACCAAGAATTTCTTAGTTGAAGCGTCTTCCGCCATGTATTTGCTCTCTAAGGACTCCCAAAGCTCCTTAACCGACTCCACATTTTGATAGACATCGAAAAGATCATCTTCCATCCCATTCAAGATATGACCACGACAAATGAAATCGTCGTTTTCCCATTTTGATCTCTCCCGAACGGATTCCAAGGTCTCATTCTCATGTTCATCCGGCCTTAGAGTACTTATAACATAGGCAACATTAAGAGAGGTCAGAAGAAAATACATTTTCTTCTTCCATCTCCTAAATTCAACACCATCAAATTTTTTGAGTTTGACGAAGTTAGCAGTCAATTCCTTCACACTAGACATACTTGATTACTTCTAAGTTTTAATCCCTTTAGATTGTTAGGTTTTACAGTAAATGCAATCAAGCAAAATACTTAAAGTAAGTGTGGGAAAAAAACCTAAATTATATGATTACAAAACATTTATGTATTGCAATAGTTCAAACACAACATAATGTGTTACAATCAAGTATTAATAAGTCCAAGAAATTACAGAAAATTTCTAGAGACAACACTGATGTGAAGTTTAATTATACTTGCGTTAACACCAAGCCGATCAAATACACATGAACATGAGAATAGCAATGCCCCTTGAGACTACGACCTTGATACACTGTCAAAGACGTATGAATACTTTCCTAAAGGAATTAATTTCCCCCACACGGTGCTTGGGTTATTCCGGAAATTCCCTTTGAGATACAATTGACAGCCCTTCTCGTTCTTAGCACAAAGAATCGAAACAAAGATGAATAAATTCACAATATTTGGAATGATTGCAAGAGTTTTCTCACAAAAGTTTGCAAGGATTTTTAGAGAAAATTGTAGAGAATACTTGTGGAGAGAAGAAGAGAAATTTTCTGTGTTTTTCCGAATCTGAAAACAAGCCTTTTAATAAAGACTTAACCGTCAGAATTTCGCAAAAAACAGACTGGCACGGGCGCGCCTCAAAGTGGAGCAGGCGCTCCTAAACAGGAGCGGGCGCGCCTCTTCTGAACTTGCGAACTTCACAAAGGAAGGCAGAGTGGTACGCGGCTTAGGCGCGACCACAGGCGCGGGCGCGTCACTAGACGCGCGGCCGTGCCAAATTCACCCTTCCAAATATCCAAATTCCAGTGAGGTCCGCGGTTTAGGCGCGACCTCAGCGCGGCCGCGCGTACCTAGCGCTGGCGCTACTCATGGTTCGCGAGCGCGCAACCAACAACACTCTAAATATTCCAACACATGATACATCCAACAAGAAAGCAGCCGACTTTGAACTCCAAGTCAAAAGCCTCCAAGCTAATGTCAAGGCATTAGGGGATGCTAACAAGGAAAACACTGAGGTGCGGGCTGAGGTCAACCGGTTGAAGAATGAGTTGGCCCAGACCCAGGGGGATCACAAGGAAAGCTGGCGGCTGAGCAAGACCTGCTGGTTACCGAGAATGTGCGCGACTGTGAAGAGCGCATGAAGATGGCCTTGTCTATGATCCATCCAGACACCGACTATGAATTCTTTAACCTGCGGTACAAATACGCCACTAAGGTGTTCGATGCCCAGGTTCTCGGAACTGAGAAGCTGGCTCCCTTTGAAGAATGGGCCGGCATTGTCGAGGAGGAAGATGAGGAGTATACGGAAGATCAAATGCCGGGTGGGGCTAACGAAGCTCAGGCCCAACAAACTCAAGAGGCTTCTCCTTCCGGCCAGGGCCAGCCGTCCCAGCAGCAGCAATAACTTAATTTTTTTCCTCCTTTTTTCTTCTTCCAGCCTGCGAGTCGTGTAGTTTGTTT